CAAACTGTCCCTAAACCCCAAACCCTAAACCCGAAACCGAAACTGTTGGCAGCCCAAGGTGCCTTTATGAGACCAAACCGGGGGTGGTCGAAGACGTCGTACCTGGAACTTCGTTTAGGGTTTAAGGTTTAGGTTTAGGGTTTAGGGTTTGGGGTTCAGGGTATTTCTACTTGGACCAACAAGAGGCTGTCTTTCGTAGAGCCCTAAAAACCCTGAACTCTATAACCCTAAACTCCATAAAAACTCATATTGTGTTGGGGTTGATATTACAGTAGCACATTCGGTATTGCCGTCGGAGGGTCCAAGGGTTATGGCAGGGGCTTCGCAAAAGAGCACCCAAAGCAAACTAAAACCTTGGGATATCCTATAATTAACTCCCTTCTGAAGCAACGCACTAAGATCGGGATCATAGGATCGGGGGCTTAGCACGTGTTGGCGCAGGTAAGATATCCGTCATCAGTCATAGTTAGCTATGGTACTAAGTGCCTTATTCGCTGATCGTCACTCTTCAAACCCTAAACCCTAAATCCTAGAACCGAAACCCTAAATCCTACACCCTAAACACTGAATCCTAAACCCCAAATCGTAAATGCCCAAACCCCAAACCCGAAACCCAGGGACGAAGATGTTGCACTGTTTGGAAGGCTCAAAGGCCGCGCTCTCTAGGACTTTGCAGGGGCTTGTGAGGTCTTCTGGAGAAAGACGGTGTTTAGGGCTTATGCACATAGGGGTTTACGGGTTAGGGGTTTAGGGTTTGAGGGTTTGGGGGTTTAGGGTTTAAGGGTGTTCCAGTGCTCAGGGTCTAGGAGGTTTTGGGGTTTGGGAAGTTCTGGAAGTACTGCGGAAGCCTAAATCGCTCAAACCCTGGCAAAGGCCCTTACTCTTACGACCTCGAAAGCGTTTGGGGCTTCGGGTACTTCGGTTCCTCCTGTGAGACTGAGATGCGCGCTTGGCGTTGTTGGGCTTCCGGTGATTGGCCTTGTGGCCCAAACCTCTGTCTTTTGGCAATCTGGTTCAGTTCCCAGCACGTTTAGAGTGTAGGGTTTAGGATTTATCAGGTTTAGACGGTTTAAAGCTCTTAGGCTCGCCTTTCATGTGCACCTGGGCGTCTCTGTAAATAACTTCCTTTTCTTAGGATCCAAGTACAGTGTAATGAAGCCCGACCGCAGTGAGAACGTACGTTGGTGGCCGTGAATGCAGCACCCTTTACTTCAAAGGGCCTCAAGTATGATTAGGACCATTAGGATACCGACTTGGTGTATGTTACGACAACTACACTTGTAAGGAACCCTACGGAATAGTGTTGGAATTCACTGATGATCTTGACCGAAAACCTCCTGCCTTCACCCTGCACCTGCCCGCCCCAGATCATAAACCACCTAGTTCATTGCCTCAGATCAGAAGCACCCTGATCTCAAGCTCAGGCCGTGGCATGCTCGGAAGACATCCGTTGATGCAAACTCCGCGGGCCTTGCTGTACACATGCTGGTTTTGTGCTCAACCGGCAGCGCTTTAGCGGTTTCAACATGCATGAAGCCTCATGTGCGCTCCGCGCCTGCTTCAGAAACTCAAAGCCTCGTTGGCTCTAGGATGTCGGGGTTTAGGCTTGGCAGAGGTTTTAGAGCGAGTTTTGGGTTCAAGATTTCAGACCCTAAGCCCTAAACCCTAAGCCCTAAACCCTAAACCTTAAGCTGTCGGCTTTGGAAGAGCTTTGGGGAAACGACTCGGGCTCCAAGTTCGGGACACGTCCAGGACGGTCTCGTTGTCGAGCGTGATCGTCATGCCATTCCTGAAGTAGAAAAAGGGAAGCCCTAACCCCCCAGGTACCTACTGTATAGGGCCCTAGGGGCTCTAGTACCCTATATAGTAGGTACTTGGGGGTTAGGGAAGGGTAGTGCATGCAACAAGTGTTACGTTTCGCAGTGTGCCAGAAACCCACACATTGTTTCATACAGACATGGCATACTCTTCTCACAGCCACGAAAACGATCGCAACCACCGCTACTACCACCTTCTTCTTCTTCTTCTTTACAACCCCCATCGGTTTAAAATCAGCTGCTTCATCGTCATCACCACCGTCATCATCACAGCACCAGTTCAAAATCATCATCATCATCATCATCATCATCAGCAGCATCAGCATCAGCATCATCATCTTCATCATCGTCATCCTCCTCATCATTCTCATCATCACCGTTATCATCACCATCACCACTGCCACCACCACCGTCAGCGCCATCACCAGCATCATTCTGATGATGATCATAGCCATAGCCATCAACATCATTCTCGATGTAGCTGTCAAGCCCTCGCACCTCAGCCTAAACCCTTCGCTTCATTTAGAACCCTCTTTCATACCGCAAAGTCCCTCGCCTCCAAACGAGGCCAAAACCACTGAAGTGGAACAAACAACCTCATAAGACACCGTTCAAGTGGGGCCAAAACCAGCACGGCATTGCAACCCGGTGTCAGGCACCAGTCCCGCTCGTTGACTTCCTCCAAGTTTCAGTTCGCATGAGTGCGGACACAGTGGCCTAGACAAGCATATGCTAGAGTCTTGGACTTTCATACTACAACAAACCGGTGAAACCTGAGAAAGAGCATTACTGACAAGCTATTCGGTTGCGTACAGCATTGCTATCTCTTCTCTGCATGGCTTTAAAGTTCGGACTGAGCTGCAAAGCCCTTGCGGATGTGGTTCTGGCCCGCGCCACGGTGCCTATGACCCTGTATTGTACTCTCACGACTACCCCTGCACACCTAGACCGCAACAAACATGCCGTCAGAATCCCTGTTAAACATGAGCAAACCCTACATGAAACCTTTAGAAACGTAGCAGCCTATATCAAACCGTGGCCTCGTGGCTACAGCGCAGGCCGTTGTACCTCGGAAAATGAAAATGTTGATGCTGTTCGGCTGAATCAGCTGATGATGGTACAGCTGCTGTTGGAGCTTGAAATTCAGGTTTCGGATTTGCGAGCTCAGAAAGGATCAGGGTTGAGACCGGGAAGATCAGAAAAATAGATCCTTGAATGGGGTCCTCTTAGGTTCCCTTCAGTAGTATTGGCTGCCAAATTAGAGGTTCTGCTTTTTAGATCCTCCCGGGGGTCGGTGTACAGAGCTTCAGGACCAGCAGGGACCTTGCTCCAAACCCTTTAGAGCGAGACCGCGTGTGGCTGCACAGAAGGTCTGCTCATGTTTCTCAAAACCCTGCACCCTAACCCCTAAACCCTAAACCCTAAACCCTAAAACCTAACCCTAAACCCTTAAACCCTAAAGCCTAAACCCTAAACCCAAACAGACTTGGTGCTTCAGCGGCTCCAGGCTGCTAGGCTTCCGGTGCTTTTTGTTTCAGCTCCTCCGTCCGACACGGTGGCTCTGCTTGACTTTGTCACCGAAAGCCTCCGACCCCTTCTTTAGGGTCAGAGGTTTAGGGTTCAGGGTTTAGGTTTCAGGGTTTAGGGTTCAGGGTTTAAGGTTCAGGGTTTAGGGTTTAGGGTGTAGGGTTCAGGGTTTGGGTTTAAGGTTCAGGGTTCAGGGGTTTAGGGTGTAGGGATCAGGGTTTGGGGTTTCAGTTTCCACAGCACCCTGCTGTGGTGGCTGGCACCGCAGGCCTCCTCGCTTCTGACGTTCTTGTTTCGAGGTCGTTTCTTTGTCTTCACCACCACTGCCGGTTCCATCTCACACACAAAAATATGTTGAAAGAAACAGGTAAGAGTAGAAGCTGTTCGACACCACTGACCACTAAGAGTAGCAGCAATAATAGCAGTAATGATACTAGTTGTAATGATAGTATACGTAGTAATAATAGTAATGATACTAACAGTAATAATAATAATTGTGGTAAAAATTGTAATACCGTTGATTCTAAGAATAAAAACAGCAGTAATGATACTAGTTGTAATGATAGTAGCAATAATAGTCATGCTACTAACAGTGATAATTGTGGTAAAAATTGTAATACCGTTTATTCTAAGAGTAAAAGCACCGAGGTGACTTGACCCGGCATGACGGTCGAGGGTTTCAATCATCCGGGATCCGGGTCCGGGCTTCGGATGCTTAGTGTGTCGGACCCAGCGCTGCTTAGGGTTTAGGGTTTAGGGTTTAGGGTTTAGGGTTTAGGGTTTAGGGTTTAGGGTTTAGGAAGGATCGAGGATGCAAGTTGCAGCATTGCTTCGGAAAACTTGCACCAAGAGCCCCTATCAACTAACCCTCAGTGCTACGTCATCTAAATCTTGGGGCCCTACAAACCCTGAACCGTAAGTCCTAGACCCAAAGCCTCAAAGTCTACACCATAATTAACCATAAGAGCTACCTCATCTAAATCTTGGGGCCCTATTAACCCTAAGCCGTAAATCCTAAGCCTCAAAGCCTCAAAGCCTAAACCGTAAATCCTAAACCCTATAAGCCTCAAAGCCTAAACCATAAGAGCTAAATCATCTAAATCTTAGGGCCCTAAACCCTAAACCCTAAACCGCTATACCCCCAAACCCCAAATCCTAACCCTAAGCCTCAAAGCCTAAACCATAAAGCTGCAGTCTCCAGGCTTCAGCTTCGGATTTCTGCGTCAGGTGCCCTCTCAGCAACTGTTGGGCTTTCTGGGTGGGGGCGAGAGGGGTTTGAGTTTTTGGTTTAGGGTTTAGGGTTTAGGGCTTAGGGCTTAGGGCTTAGGGGAGGAGGGGGTTTAACCCAAAGAAAAATCACAGACCCTAACCTCCAAAACCAGACGCCCAGCAAACTTTATTAAAACCCAGCCCTTGAACTTAGCCGTGACCCCTAACTCCAATGAGAGGTAGTAAGATGTCTGGGTCCATTGAAGCCAGCATGCCAGCTACACAGCTCGCCCGCCCGCAAGAGCCGCTTCGCGAAAAGGCCCTCCATGTCCTGCTTCGACAGACTACTTGGAGGATCATGGGACTTAGTAACTAGGGTTATAAATAAGGTAACTATAATTATAACCCCAATTAGGGTACTTATAACCTTACTTACTAATTATGTCCCATGATCCTCCAAGTAGATCGATTCCTTCTACAGCGATACATAAGCAACAGAAGCCCAAGGCGCATCTATCGAGCTGAGGTTACAGGGCTTCACATTATAACACGAGCCTTGATGCCACGTAGGTCTTAAATGTTTTCGAAGTTCAGCGCTATCTGGGGCTCAGAGTTTTTGGTTTGGGAGTCTATGGACAATGAGATTTCAAGTTGGGCATGTGCTCATGTAAACTGTTGTCTCTGTTGCATCGTTTCTTGATTGCTCCGCTTCATCTGTTGTGATACTTTCTAATCTCAAGAACCCGCTCGCAGGATCAGCGGACAAGGCAAGAAAGGTTAGAAGCATCTAAATAGGAAAGCAGACATACCTTTTGCTGTATATAAAATAAGGCCTGACGCCCATGAACGGCCCATCAACATTCAAGTAAGTTCTACGGTTGATGGCATCTTCTCCTCTTTCAAACGGCTCTGCGAGACCGTCACGCGCTCCAGTTCCAAAAGGTCCTGGGAAGGCATTTTCCGTTTCCAGCTCGGTCGGTGCACTTGATGTTGAGGCTTCTTCGCACAGTCAGGGGTTGTAAGGCTACCGTTGGCTGAGGTCATCTGTTGACGTAGAAGCAGCCCGGAAGAAAACATCGCTTGAAATCACGAATGTCTCCACTAGTGCCCAATACTACTCCCCGAAAAAGACCAGCACCACAAAGCAACAAGGACACAAATCTCCATGGATAAGCCAAAAGGTTTGGCACGTATCTTCAGTACCCATAGGCCCCATAGTAGTTCCTTTTTGGGATTACCTTATAGGACTCTAAATATGGACCCCCCAAAAAGGAGCTACTGTGGGGGGTGGGCATTCTCCAGTTCCCCGCGGCTTTGAGAAAACCGTTCCAGAACAACTTAAGGCTTTGCCGAGATTTGGGAGTTTCCGAAAATAAGGGATCCCTTATTTTGGGGGTCCTTTTAAAAAGTATCCTACTATTTAGGGTACTATATTAGGGTCCCCTATTTTCGTGAACCCCCATTTGGTTTCATAAATGCTGCGTGGAACCTCGGTCGATACCCCAACACAGGAGACTCCCCTTGTCATGGACAAGAGCTTTCTGTTTCTTGCCGGAACTCGAAGAGCATAGAAAAAGCCATTGAGGTGCTGTATCGTGCAAGAATTAAGAATCGACCACCGGTTGCTTCGCCACGCAGTCCAAAGATACTGCAGCTGTAGTATAGGATTTAAGGCTGGCAGAGGCTCTGGACAGGGTTGAGCGGTTTAGGCTTAGGGTTTATAGCGACTCTCATAGTGGTGCCTTTGCTTTGGGTCTTGGGGCTTAGGATTTCAGGGTTTTTGGTCTTTAGGACTACAAAAGTGCCTTGGCCGCAAGGTGTGCGGCTTCCATGGGCACGGCATTCCCAAAGGCTGCGTGTACCTTTATAGTAGATACTCGGGCCTTAAAGTACCTATATAGGGACCCCTTTAAGGCCTAAGCTCCCCGGAACAAAACAACAAAACACACACTGAAAGCAGCCCGAGATGCTGGGATCAAAGGCTGAGCCGAGAGCATCCTTGGAGCCGTGAAGACGAAAGGGTTTAGGGTTTAGGGTTTACCTCCATAATCTGAATAGGGTTTAGGGTTTAGGGTTTAGGATATAGGGTTTAGGGTATAGGGTTTAGGGTTTAGGGTATAGGGTTTAGGGTTAAGGGTTTAGGGGTTTAGGGTTTAGGGTTTAGGGTGTAATCTCCGTTGTAGCTCCCTTTTAGGCTTAACGAATTTCATATCTGGGATCCTATAATAAGATTACCCAAGCACTCAGCTACAATCGAGACGAAAGGTAATATAGGGGCCTAAATAAATACCAATACTGTTTTGGGCGTTCCTGAGTATAATTATAGCATAAATCCAGCCCCAAAAACCCTAATTCTTGAAGCCCCTCTATTGCTTCAAGATGCACGGTTCGAGAGTTAAGGGTTGTAGGGTTCAGGGCTTTGGGCCTTTGGGGCTTTAGGGTTTAGGAGCTTGGTGCTTCGGTTAAAGGAAGAAACTACAGGTGGGGAGTTTAGGGCACATAGGGCTTCTATAAGGCTTCCATAAGGTATATGGACCTTCTATAAGGCTCCTATAACAGTAACTACCCATCTGAAAATGTCCTAGATATAGGAGCCTTAATAGTTAGAATAAGGTATTGGGTGGTATATTCTAACACAACTATAATAAGGAACCCCCTAAACCCTAAACCCTAAACCCCTAAACCTCCCCCAAAATAGTATAGGCAAATCTTAACCCCCCCCCAACAAAAAAAGAGTATAGGAAATTCTTAAGATGAATGCTTAGGAAGGCCCAGGCCGAGGGAACAACGGTTTAGGGCTTAGGGTTTAGGGAACCCCTCAACCCTAAACCCTCAAATCCTAAACCCTAAACCCCAAAACCCTAAACCCCACACCCCAAACCCTAAACCCTAAATCCTAAACCCCAAACCCTATTATAAACCCTAAACCCTCAACCCTAAATCCTAAACACTAAACCCTAAATCTGGTGTCTCGGGGTTCAAGGCTGCAAGGACTTCGGCGGAAAGGCTGACGTGAACGCGCTGAAGCCATCCCCAGCCAGCCCAAGATCCTTGAAGCCCGTACCCTCTTTTCTTTTAGTAGGGGGTTTAATATACCAAACAGTTTAAAGTTTACCTACTGGGCTCCTAAGAGATCCTTTCATTAAGGAATGTGCCGAATATGCCTTGTATAAACCCAAAACCCGAAGGCGCTAAGGACTCATAATTTTAAGGCTTTTGAGCCCAACGACCATACCATAGAAGGTTGTTGGACTATCTTGAGCCTTAGGGAAACAGTGATAATAAGCCCTGGGAAGTGTAAAGTGTGTTTCTGAACATTGGGCTCTCTGGGTCTAAGCTTGGAATGCGGGAATTCGGTCTAGCAACATTAATATTATGTGGAGTGGGGCGCCTGATTCCTAAGCCCTTAGAACCTACATCTTAAAATCACAAAGCACTAGGCCCTTTACTCTCACACCCTAAACTCTATAGGAGCATGATAGTTTTGTTGCGGGGAGGTTCTGCCTGGTTCAATGTCTCGGGAGAGAGGGTTGAAAATCAGAGTCCCCTTGCCCCCTGGGCTCAAAATTCAATGTCCGTGGAAATATTGTAGCGAACGCAACGACAGTTGTAATCTCATCCGTTCGCAACAGCCAGGCCAGTGTCTACTGGGCCACCACGGCTGTCGTTGCCGCCGGCTGGTGGCAATCGCTGCCGGGAACGAACTCCGCGAAAGGGGCCGAGCGTCCAGAATAGCGGCTCCGGAACATCTCAAAATCATATATCAACTGGCCAAGTTCATCTATGGCATGGTGTCGCGTCGCACGGCGTGAAATGCCGGGTCTTAGGGTGTCGGCTTCTGTCTTTGGGGATACACACTTTTATTTTAAACTAGCATAGGTTTTAGCACCATTGTAGGACCCATGCATCGATCACCAAATTCCCGCATTCCAAGAACCCTTAAGCAAGATCAGTCCCCAACTAAGTCGCCTGCTTTACACCGTTTTACCCATAGGCCCCATAGTAGTTGCTTTTGGGGATTACCTTATAGGATTCTAAATATGAACCCCCAAAAGGAACTGCCATGGGGCCTATGGGTAAACAAGTCAAGAAACCCTCCCCTGAAAACTTAAAGCACCAAGCGCACCCGTGAGGTCTTTGACATTGAGCCCTAAACCCTTTGAGCCCGTAACACCGACAAACACCAACTGCTCACCGAAGAGACTCTCGTGTCGAAACATCACCTGGCCAGGGCAGGTCTTTCTTGAAGATCGTCACACTTGGCGTGTTGTTTCATGTTGCTTCCGTGCTCAAAACCCTAAACCGCCTAAACCCTAAACCTAAACCCTGTTGTCTGACTGTCTGGCATGATGCATGTGCCGGTAGCCAGCTGACGAGGTTTCTTGTCATACTCCAAACATCTAGATGTCATTTGGGCGGTACCCGCTGTCAGCATATCGAGTGTATTACTTAGGTTCCGAAATTGAAGTTAGTAGGCTTCTATGGAGGATCTTGGGGTGCGTCCGGTTGGGTTCAACCCAACTAACAGAAGTCTCACTACAGGGGGATATAGGGACTATGCGGGGGATACTGTTTATAGGCCTCACACAATGGGGATTGGACAGATTTGATAATCTATCCAGTAATCAGGTTCACTTCCGGCTCTGTTCGCACACGCGCTAGACGGGATACCTTCTGCCAGCGTTCAACCTGAGGAGTGCGAAGTTTGAACAGGATACAGAGGTGCTGTGTCAAGCACCATACCAAGCAGCATAAACAAATGTCTCAAGTTCCTGTTGTCCGGACGATGATGATACAGATGGAAACACAAACAGCTCCCGCTGCAACACGGCGCACGGCTGCAATGTGGCGCATGGAATAGGGGCCCATTGCTCGACATTGTAACGAAACATGGGCCGGGGGTATGAATGCGCACACTCGGCACTTCGGCAATGCTTATAGAGAGTACACCAACACACGAATCCCCGAATGGCAGAGAACCACACACTCTTGACATGAATGACTCCGCAAGCCAAGCCACATGACACCACTTTCATGGGCAGCTGGCGACTCGACCTAAACGTCACGCATCAACTATACCGGCGATGTTTGACACAGCTGAGACCACTAGCAGGCCCCACTGCAACACGGCGCACGGCTGCAATGTGGCGCATGGAATAGGGGCCCACTGCTCGACAGTGTAACGAAACGTGGGCCCGGGGGTATGAATGCGCACACTCGGCACTGTTTATAGAGAGTAAACCAACACACGCATCCCTGAATGTCAGAGAACCACACAATCTTGAAATGAATGACTCCGCAACCCAAGCCACACGACCCCAATGCATGGGCAGCTGGCGACTCGACCGAAAACGTCACGCATCGACTATGCCGGCGATGTTTGACACAGCTGAGGCCACTAGCAGGCCCCACTGCAACACGGCGCACGGCTGCAATGTGGCGCATGGAATAGGGGCCCACTGCTCGACAATGTAACGAAACGTGGGCCCGGGGGTATGAATGCGCGCGCTCGGCACTGTCTAGACGGCAACCGTTGCACGCATCCCAGAATTTCGGAGAATCGGGCTTGCAACGAACGACTCAGCAAACCAAGCTGCGCAACAACCGCAAATGCCAGGCATCGAAGACGATGTTTGACACAGCTGAGACCACCACTAGCAGGCCCCACTGCAACACGGCGCACGGCTGCAATGTGGCGCATGGAATAGGGGCCCACTGCTCGACATTGTTACAAAACGTGGGCCCGGGGGTATGAATGCTCACACAGGCACTAATTTATAGAGAGTAAACCAACATGCGCGTCCCCGAATGTCGAAAAGGCACACAATCTTGCTTGCAATGAACGACTCAGCAAACTAAGCTGCACAGCAACCGAAAACACCACGCATCGACTGTGCCGGCGATATTTGACACAGCTGAGACCACTAGCAG